AGGAATTTCTTGACAGTGAGAACAATTAATCAGTGGGACAACTTGCCTCCAGAAGTTGTAAATTGCCCCAACACTGGACGTTTTAAAGAAGAGATTGGATAACCATTTGTCTGAAGTGGTGTAGGGTTTCCTACCTAAGCAGGGAGTTGGAGTAGATGACCTCCAAGGTCCCTTCCAACTCTCTTATTCTATATGCTATGCAGGGTGTATTCTATATTCTATGCCTTTTCCCTCCCCAAGCATTCTCTCCCTTTCATAATGCATATAGACTTAGGTTGTTCTGTGTTCTTGTATAATCTCCAATCCAAACACTGGTCACATGGATATTCGTTCCTTCAGACCAAGGAACTTTTGGATTGGATTGGATTTGGATTTATTACATTTATATGCCGCCCTTTTCCCTGAAGGGGACTCAGGGCAGCTCACAATTCAGTCAGGGAAGGGGCTACAGACAGGGAATAAAAAGACGAACATAACAATACACAGAACANGGTGTTATATGGGCGAACCGTGGTGCGCCCATGATCACTCGCGCGGCCGCGTTCTGAACTAGCTGAAGTCGCCGGATGCTCTTCAAGGGCAGCCCTAGGAAAAAGACAGCAATGGCAAACCATTTCTGAAATCTTGCCAAGAAAACTGCAGGGACCTCTCCAGGCAGTGGCCAATACTGATTTGAAGGTGCACCACTGGATTATGTGAACACTACTTTGGGCTTTCATATCTTTAGCTTTCTGTGAAATATGCCCACAAAAGCATTTCCAAGCAAGGGATTAATTGACACCGACATTTATATCTGTGTATTTGAAAACAAGCCATTAGTAACTTTAAATTGTTTAAGAACAGCAACAATAGAGTCAATACCCTAGCTGTGTTATTAGTTGATCTTATTGATGTCAGAAAATGAGGGGTAAATCCTGGGGAAAAAAACCCCAGCAGTCTCCAATGTGAAGAGATAATTGTATTATTGATCTTTAAGGATTATTGTTCTTGTGGGATTGGGAATTTTGTAACAACTGCCTTGGCTCACAATCAATGAGCTAGAACAAATTCTTCTCAGCCCCCTCATGGCGGAGCTTTATTAAATACATATTTACCTCTTGTATGAAATAAAAAATGGAATAACTGGTGCTTCGTGTACCTTTTCCTAATTTAGGAAAATAATCCTTAGGGAAAAAATAATAGCATGGCAAGAAGACAATAATAAGTATGGGTTGTTTTGTGAGGGGTGCCTTTTTAAATAGGCCCTTCCTCATAATCATTCAGACATTAGTATGTACCCCTGGAGATCCTATTTCTCTCTCCTGGTAAGTAGTTTGTGCAGTTCGGGTGGCCTTTGCTCATTTCCCTATGAATGGTAATGGTGACCACCTCGGGCCATGCAAAGCAATCTTTAAAAAAAGAAAATGTTTAACTATAACCACTGGGACTAGAACCATTGCTCCCTGTGTCATAATGTGAATATCAATAAGACACAAGTCCATTGAGCTCCCTGCTTGATTTGACAGATAAAGGATCACTTAGTTAATTAGAAGATGACATAGTGCGTTTGCGCCCCTTAGTTATACCTTGCCTTCTGCCTCCTTTTGTTTTCCCTATGTCCCCTCTTTCTTTTTTGACAAGCTAAATGACATCATTACTGGTGGTTTCACTTGTTAAGCACACCAGAAACCGAGAATATTTTTAGCAGTAATGATATCCAGTTTCCCATCAGATTTATCTTTCCCTCAGAGACAGAAAGGAAAAAACCAAGTTAGATGTGTCAAGACTTTGATAAAATGTAGTAGTCGCTAGCCTTCATCTGTATACTTTGAAAGAGATTATTAAACACAGATTGGGAAGCTGTTTCTTCAAACAATGCTACACATTGAAGGCTCATTTTCAATGTACGTCTTTAAGACCCCAACCTTAAACCTCATATCTCTTTTTCTTGTTGTCCCCCAGTTGGGTTATGATTTAAAGAGTTATTGTATATCACACATGAACAAGCTTCCCTGTTTACAAGCCATATGGAACATTAACTGCACTGTATAACATGCATAATGCTCAAATCCATTTCAGAATCAGCACTTGAGCAAAGAGATGTTTATTATATAACATCAGACTCGATTCATAATTTAATGCTGATAAGAGAACAGAAAGTTCACAAACACTTCTGATGAAGATATTCGCTCCTTACACTTTTATTTTAATATTTATGAAAGTCCTATCCTAAAAGACAGAAAAATTGCTAAAAAGGTTTTGTAAAAATCGTGTCGGGGAAGGAGCAAGTGTACTTATTAATTGATGGATCTTTTTACTTTGTGGATACATTCATGGATGTATGTAAAATGATTAAAATAATGTGCTCAACATCAAAAGCTCTAAGATCACATATTCAGTGGGGCTGCATATTTTTCAAAAATAATTTGGAAGAAGTGCTTTGGACCACTTATGAGTACATATCACCTCACTGCTATTAATTAAAATATAAGACTGCAAAATATATATGCACTTGCTTTAAAAAACCTACTCATTAAAGTTAATGTGCTTCTTCAAGTATTGACACCTTTTATTTCAAACTCACAGAGAACCCTTAAAAGTATCCACTTTAATAAAAAAAAAGACACTGTACATGTACAATACTAAAACCACTTTTTTCAAATCATATTTGAAGTGTGCAAATCCCTAACATGGAATGAAAAAGAATTTAATAGTCTGTTGGTTTTCACAGTCCACTTAAAGTATCAAAGCCCTAAGAGAAGCAGGAGAATTTAATAGTAGAAAAGTAATGGCAAGGATAATTACCCAAGATTTTCATCTCATTAAGACTTGGGAAATCCACATGAAAGGCTAATAAGTTGATATGGTGTAGTAATATAAACTTGGGTCACAAATATCGAACCTCACAGATAAATATAGCTGAAACAGTCTTTGCCCTTGTTCTTTCAAATGTCTCTATATCTAGATTCACTTATTGAACCAAAACAAGATTGATTTAAAAATAATTGGCAAAATAAATTATCAGAGTTGGAAGGGACCTTGAAAGTTTTCTAATCCAACTTCCTACTCAAGCAGGGAGCCCTACAGCACTTCAGATTAATGGTTATCTAATCTCTTCTTAAAAACTTCCAGTATTGGAGCATTCACAACTTCTGGAGGCAAGTTGTTCCACTGATTAATTGTTCTAACTGTCAGGAAATTTCTCCTTNTAGCAAAAAAAGCTTCACTTGTTAACAACTCCATATTATTTAAAAAATGTAAATTCTATTAGCAAAAAAAGCTGAAACTAGAACTGGAAGACATATGAAAATGGCACAGAAAATAGCACTCCGTGAAGCAACATTCATGGAATTTTAATATATGCAGTGAGACCGAGATCAGCAGTTAGCATAATAGCAGATCACATGAGAATAACTTTCTAAGCCAGTGCTGAATGGCATCACAGTTTTGTAAATAATATGGAGTTGTTAACAAGTGAAGCTTTAAGTGCACCAACAGAAGAAACAGAGCCATTCAAGAAAAATTTATATAAACCAATTGATGTCCCAAATGTACAATGCCAGTAAGACTGAATTCTCCTGGCATTTGTCTCCCAAGGACATTCAGACCTTTAAAGATGAACATCAACAGTAGCAGGGTGAGAAATCAGAAAAGAGAATCTCAGCATCACTTTATGTAAACACCAATGGATTGCAAAGACTAATGCCAACCAATGTGAGTAAGTTGTGTTTTCCACACTACAGAAAAACTGCAAACTCTACACTTCGTAATTTTAGGGAGAGAAGCATACAGAAATAGAATGTTTCCTAGGCTCAGTTAAAATTGGACACTTTCTTCAAACTAAGCCAACCAAAATCACTTCAGATGGCTATATCATTAGATTAGGTTTATTAATGTAAAGTACAGCTATGTATTTTGGGCCTAAAAAATCCCAATCATCATTTGGCGGACTATTTATTTAATGGAAATCCCTTTCTTGCCATTAGTTTACTAATTCAAGAGGGAGGTGGAACTCCTTGGTTTTGGGAGAATTCCTATACTTTATTTTCATGTTTCTTCTGGAAATCTGGTTAAATTTAGTTATTTTGTTTCTTTTAGTATTTTCATTTTTTTTTTACTTTTCAAAAGTCTGTTACCATTTTTAATTTTAACATTGAATATTTTAATATTTTTCTTGAGTTTTTCTTTTCTTGCACAAATACAACTTTCTTTTCTATTAACTGTATTAAAATGTAATAGTAATCCAGATTTGTCGAGTACAGGGCTGTCAAAATCACATCGCAGGCTGAATGTGTCACACGCTGGCCACACCCATCCCCGTTTTAGCAAATGGGGAAGAAAGTCGTGATATGTCATGTGACATGACCACGTGAGTTTGACAACCCTGGCCTAGTGGCACCAGGCTGGGTGACTTTGGATCAGTTATTTTCTCTCAGTCCAACCCACCTTATAGGGTTGTTGTGAGGAAAATAAGAGGAAGGAATATTAGATATGTTCACTGCTATGAGTTATTTGTAAAAATAATAAAAGATACAACTAAATAAATAGAAATTTCTCTAAGCCCAGGTTATTACAAATAGAAGTTCTTTCATTATCTAAGCAAGATGTTTTGTGCAACTTCTAAAAGATGACCTTCACTTGAAAATATTGACCTGTCAGGCAATTGAAGGACATTATGGATATAAAAGCAGCTACTGTTAAACATAAATTATTGTGTTTCAATGAAATTTATAAATTGTGTGTTTATTGCAACTTTTCTGGGCCAAAATATGTGGTGTGTGTGTGTGTGTGTGTGTGTGTGTGTGTGTGTGTGTGTGTGTACTCATAAGCATATAGGTGGTGTGGATATATAGACACACACCTGCTTTATATTGGATTATTCTAAGGCTTTCCTCTTTCTCAGGATTGAGTGATCTTTTCTCCTCACTAGTAAATTCATTCCCTACCTCCCATTTACTCTTTCCAAGACCAGGTCTACATTCTTTCCCAGGAAGCTTACTGGAAAGTTTACTGGAAGTGAACTAACATAGTAAGAAGAACCATATTTTGTAAAAAGAAAGAGTGTTTCTCTGAAGGGAAATGAAAACTATCCTACTCACCAACTGAATGGATTTGCAGGAGCTGACTCTATCATTCAGGCCCATCCAGCAATGATATTCAGGATATTCTCCATGGGTTAAAACATACATGCTTCCCGCAAAATTTGGCTGCTCATAAACAACCCAGACACCATTTTCTACACGGATGGAATTGCAACGGCTCAAGTCAGTGTGGAAATCCAAACAATCCCTATCAGACTCATAGCGGCATCCTTGGAAATTCTTGCCTTCATAGAAAGTGATCTGAAACACAAGCAAAGGAGAGAGAAATATGTGTCTGTAAAACTAGTCTCTGTCTTAACTCTGCAGCAGATGAGCATTACCCAGAGAAAGTCTTGCCTCTAATTATTAATGGGAGTTGCACCTGAGCTTGTACCATATTCCTTTTATTGGTTGGTACTTTGGATAACTAAATGCCAAAGTTGTTGACGATATCTAATTATATCTTTGGCTCCCATGCATTAAACCTACAGTATAGGGAAATATAATATATGTTAAGTTTATTTTGGTGTTTAAAATAGAAAAAAAAATCCCAAACTGATTTTTAAATGCCAAGATATTGCCCAACTTAACAGAAGATTTATGAAAAGACATGCTGGTTATCCCCAAATAATCAAAAAATTCATTATGGCATCAACTCATTGCAGCAGCATCCAATTTTGGTGAAATGATTTCTGAATGAACAGCTTTTAGTACTACCAATAAAAGACACAATTCTCTCTTTCCCTCCTTTGAATCTTTCCAGAGAATAGAGTTTTATAGATTTCAGCTTTGATAGTATAAAAATGCCTTGTTCTGACACTTTGTCACTCTGAGCGTTTTGGAGCTGCCTGGCATTTTGCAGCACGAAGAACAGCAATATGCAATATTTCAATTACAGCTTGGAGACAAAATAAGGCCGGTATCATGGGGACAGAGGGTAAAATTGGGTTGCAAAGTTGTTCCCGGTGATGTTTTTAATAGCTCTCCGTTGGTTGTCTTTGATTTGGGTAAGAAAAAAGAAAGTACTGTAGTATAATATAGCGACTCAGGTTGAGGATTGGGACCAAAAGACATAGTTCAATGAGTTCACTGGTTCTTTGTTGTTAAGGGGATAAAATGAAGAAAATATCCATATACAGTATAACACTCAATCTTCCAGAAGAATACAAGACATAGATGTGATATATTATTGCTATTATGGTTATTACTATTTTTCCTACACAGGAAGATTATAAATGGAAGATGATTTCTGAAGTTCTCAAGACTTTATGGCTCTAAATTAATATCTGTCACATATACAATATTTCATTTTCATACCTTTAGCACCAAACTAAGGACATGATAGAAAAGAATATTTTTGCTAAGGGTTGAACTGTGGGGTCCTTGGTGCTTTCTGAGAGCACCAAGGATCCCACAACCCGAGGATAGATATATTTTATTTTTTTAATCTAATTTATGTTCTTTTCTTCATTCACCTATGCACAAGAGATATGAAGATTCGAATGTTGTTTTTTTTAAATATCTGGGGTATAAATAGGGAATTTCATGCTACCCAGAGCATCTGCCCTTTCCAGACTTATCCTAAAATCAATGCACACAATCCCAATCCATACAATATATCCAGAAGTATGAACGCATGGAAGACCTCTCCAAGTCCCTAATTAGCTGTCTTCTTTGAAGCATGAATCAAGGTTTTGAAAAATATAGAAATAGCTTAAATAAAGGCTGCACATAAGATGGTATGGCCAAAGGGTCCGATTGCTCACATATTCACTTTTCACTATAAAAGCTAGAACCTACACCAGTTACAGGAACAAAAATTTTTTCTGTCCGCAGTGTTCCTGCTTGAATTTATCTCCTGAGTTTGTACTGAGTTTTGCAGTAACTGGAATTTATCACTACTCTACATTTCAGAGGATAGAAGTCTTTACTTTGATTAACGTTCCATCTAAACTGCCCCTTTAAGAATGTTAAATTTCTTACGTGTTTTGTCCTTTTTAAATTTTAAAAAAAGGAAATGTGAAGCAAACTATCTGGGGAGAGAAGAGGAGGAGGTTAGCCCTTCAGAAGCTTGCACAGAGACACACAGAGAGCTGTTTTCCCAATAAAAAGTGCACAAATCCAAGCTGCCATTTGCCCTCGGACTAAAATATTTATTGGTACAAATATATCTGAATGGGAATTTTCACTAAAAAAGTGATGCAAGGGGAAATGGAACTGTGATATTTTGTACTAATTAGTTCACAGGTTGGAGAAAATACTATAGCAATGAATATGGAATATGAGGAACTACTAGCATTTCCACAGAGATGAAATACAACTAATGAAGTAAATGAATAAGACACAGAACAGAAACTCAGGGGAAGATGTAGGGATCACACACAAATAGGTACTAAAATATCACAGCAGCAATAACATATCAAATGTAAATGCCTAATGTAGAAAAGGAGAAACAGTTCAGATGTAGAAGACAAAACAATGTTGTGCAAAATCTCCCTGAACTTTGCCTAATATAGATCTGTTAGAAGATATGGGAATTTTGTGTTTGAAAGCTTCTTCCTGTGAACAACAGTTTCTCTGCACATATTTTGAAAAGTTTTCAACTTACGTATCAGAATGATAGTTAAACTTGAACCTCTCTGGGGCACCTTATTTTAAACAAACATGGGAAAGCATCCAACTAGGTACTTTTCTACTTCAAATTGAGTGATACAATTTCAAACAAACACTTTCAGTTAATTGTTCAGAGTATATTATTTTCATAAGTTTAAGGTAAGACATTCTCAAGGAACTGTTCAAGGGTAGTTTTTTTGTAAATCATCCCCAAAATCCAAAGCACCAAGGAAATCATCTTTTTTTGTTGTTGTTCATTTACCCTCATTCTCACAGTAAGCTGTGGATAGTGATGAACTGCCCTGCCGAGATTCTAATCTTGAACTTACTCAATTAGTAAACAATTACAGTACCTGTTGACTAACATGAAGGAAATATATGTACCTGGGTAGCACTGCAGATTAAAGTGATTGTCTGGCTAGATTTACTCTGTAACTTATACAAATATATCAACAGCTGGAAAGAAATACTTGTTCTCTGCGTGGAACATACTGGTCCTAGTGCTAGACTAAATCTTCATTTCAAGATCACCCCAGTAAATCTCAGAACTTCTATATCTTTTCTTATCTTCCACAGAATGAAGCAAACATCAAAAAAGTAGGATGTATCTAATACTCTCAATGATGCGGACAGACCTTAATTTGACAAAATAGTATCTGTTTTGATGAAAGCTAGAAAAATCCACTAAGAGTTTCAGGCATTCATTTATTCCCAAGCAGTTTGCTTTCTAACAGAAGATGGGAAACATCTCCCTCGTCTACTCTGCTTTTATCTCAGTTCTGCCAAGCTCACCAGCAGGTTCCATCTTGAGATGTCATCTTGTTACAAACAAAAGGACAAAGAAAGATATCCTTAGACTGAAACCATAACTTACCCTGTTTCCAGTTTTAAACATGATCAATGTTGGCTGCAATATTCCTAAAGAAAAGAGACTAGAAGTAACTGCAAGAGCTCAAACCAGGAAGCCTCATTTTATAATGGGCTCATTTTTTAGGATAAATGTTTGCTTTGTCATGAAAATAGGATTCCAAAATTGACTCAGTGATTCTGTGGCTATTCAGAAGTTCTAGAAAAACAAAGAGGATTATAAAATAAAAGCAAGCCTCGCTGCTTCATTTCTCCCTTTATTTTTCCTCATTCTAATGCATTAGGCTTGTGAATGCAATGCTGAGTCAGAACTCCAAACTCCTGTCAGAAATACTCAAAATAAAAAGTGCTTGCAGCTCCTATTGAGTGATGGCAACAGTTCCCCTGTTTGGTTACATATAATGATGGATTCAACTAAAGGAAGCCTCAGTGGAGCATAATGCCAGAAAACATGGGAACCATGCATGAATGAGGAAAGTAGCCTGGTGAGCTATTATTCTATGGAGAAATAGTTTTAACTGAAGTAATACACTTGCCATTGGGTAAAGTACTGTATCTCCCTAGGTGCTGTATTTTAATATATTTGTTTGCAAACTCCCAAGGAAAAGGCTACAAATGGCTCTGATCTTTCGTTGTAGGTTTAGCTAACTAAAACATTTCTTGAATAACTCATAAAAATACTGCTTATAGCTGGTAGTTTCTATACAGACTTGATTTATACATTCCATTTTGAGAAAATACAAGTAGTTCTTATTTAGTGACCAAAATTAGGGCCAGCTACTAAGTGAAATCTTTGCTAACTGAAACCACAATTCTGCTTACCATCTTATTTCAGGTTTCTTTTGTTTTACCAATCTGCAAATGTTATAAATAAAGTAGTCACATAGCTACTTTTTTATCACTGTCATAACTGGAAACAGTTACTAAACAAGGCAGTTGTTAAATAAGAACTACTTCTATATATAAAATTGGTATTATATAGTTTGGGGTATCGGTCATTTTTTAATCTAAGATTCTATAAGCAATATTTCAGTATGTGTGTCTTAGAATACTGCTTCATAGGATCTGCCAAGGATAGTAGGTAGACAATATTCTAGAAATGTTCAGCAGAATTCAGAATAGTTCAAGAGGGCATGGAGACAGTAGACATAGTTCATCTTTTTTCCCCTCAACTCACTAGGAAAAGAGTAAGCCTTCAAACAACAAAACCCAAGTTTTTCTAGAGCATGCTTACACCTTTCTATGCAAACTAGGTTATCTAACCTAGAGATTAACTTGCAAATCAACATACTGTTGCCTACATTGCATCACCTCAGAGGTGTCAACTGTGTATTTCCAATATATGCAATTAAGAGGGACAGAAAATAAAAAATCCCTTTATATATAGCCACTTCTGCAGAACTATTTTGGTCTTGCATTTGAAAAAAAATGTAGCAAAACTGGAAAAGTGCAGAAAAAGGCAACCTGGCTTATTTTCTTATAAGAAATATTTAGCACTCATTAACTTGGAAAAAGACAACTCACAACTTGTGCCAGAAGCACCTAAGCCCTTCCGGGTTGAAAGCATTAGCCATAATTGCCCAGGGGACACCCAGCTGGGGGTTCCTTTCATGTCCCTAGCAGGAGCAGGAGCAAAGGACAGAAGCTCACTCCTCTCCATGGCAGCACACAGGTTTCAGACACAGGCTTGCTAACCTCCAACCCACATAACCATGTGAGTATGTGTTCCTACAAGAACACAACTGAGGAAAATATATATAAAATCATACAAATATCAAATCACGCTTAGCAGGTAAGAACTACCAGCCATCTAACGCAGGTGTTTGGAAGGAGATTTAGAACAAATGAAAATACTAACTATGTGATGCATAATTAACTTGTGGAATAAATCACGTTACACATAAGACAAAAAAGCAGGATGGTTAATTCCAATGGCTTTAAAGAGAGATTAGAAAATGCATTGAGCACAACTCTAACAAGATATACTGTAGGTCTTGAAGATCCAATATCACCTGTGGGTTGAACTCATATCTTTTCAAGGGGGAGTTTCAAGAGAACATCAGTGGGAGTCTGCTTCCTTTATCTGCTGGTAAACACTGAAGAAGCCTTTGAAAAAAATCAATCCTCCACCCCCTCACAGAAATAGTTCTTTTTTTCTACCTTGAAATTCCCATATGTCAGCTTCAATAGCTGACCTGAAATTCTGGTGTTCCAAAAATTAGGAAAAAAATATCCCTAGATCTGCCTACTTCTTTTCAAAATGGAAGAATTAGCAGCTTAAGTCGCCATGGGCGAACTGGCAACAATATACATTCAATAAATAAATAAATAAATAAACGTAGTAATATTAAAAGGTGACCACTTAAATCAATTTAGTTTTGACTGCTTAGTTATCACTAACTTAAATCTGTACAGTTCAATGGGCCTACTTTAAGCCTGAATTCAATCCCTTGCATCCAAGACCCTTTTCCCAAAATATACGGATGGTAATAAGTGTGAGTACATTATTAAATCTGAAAAAAGAAAATGAGGCACAAAATATCATTGTGTCAATTTAATTACATTTCATCCCATAAGTGTTAAACAACCGATATAAAAATATATTTAGAAACATTAATATAAACAATATTTAATTAATAACAAAAAAATTACCCAGCAATCAGAGCAGTACCACTATCTTTACATCAAGAAAATAACACCTTTTCCTGCACATTTAAATATGCTAGGAATTTACATTTTTCTCTCAAGTATACAGTGAAGTATTAATAGCAAGATCCTCCGATAAAGATCCAGAGCAATTGATATCATACAACGTGAAATATGCAGTAACGTCCATTTCCTTCTTGATAATGCCATTAAGCAAATTCATGTTTCTAAACTTCAGGTTGGCCCCAGTCTATTATGAGGGAAATACTTTTCACTTGGCACAGTGCATCTCCAGAACTATAACAAAACAAATAGATAGTTAAATTGATGAATCAGCAGTCTCATCACATTCCAATCACATGGTAGTAGCAGTTTATTTGATAGTTTCAATCACAAATACCTAACAAACAATAGTAATAGTAGGATGCTGTTTCAGACCCTGGAAAGACTGAGTGGGTTTAGCTTTTGGGGACTTCTGGTTGTAGCACTATGACATCTTTGGTGCTGCTGCATGAGGTTGCGCTGTCCCAAACAGTGCATAATCTGGGAGTTCTCCTGGACTTGTGCAGTCATGCTAACAGGGCCTTTGCACAGCTTCATGTTGTGTGCCAGTTGTATCCGTCCCTGGATTGGATTACTCTGTTCATAATCACTCATTTTCTAATCATTTGCCAACTGGACTACCATAATCTATTCTAGATGGCCCTTGAAGAACATCTGGAAACTTTAGCTAGGGCAGAAAGCAACAACACAGGCAGTTCTAGAACAGCACATGTTACACCTCTGCTCCATGGGCTATATTTGTTCAGAGTTTTGGCATGGGGCAATTTATCTGGCAATTTACCTCTCCCCAACTGCATCTACCCATTCCATCAGATCTGGGAGAGAAGACATAATGCAGGCCCTCTCTATTAGGGAACAACACTTGGCAGCAAGTCTTCTCTGCTGTGGCACCTGCCTTATGGAACGTTTTCCCCCTTGAAGTGAGTTTCGCTCCATCCCTGTTAATGTTCCAGAAATCTCTCAAGACCTGGCTTTGCCCTCAGGTCTAGTGGTCACAGATGACAGGTGACAACTTCTTAATAGTAGTTTTATATATAAGTTAAACAATAATTGAATGTCAACACTGCAAAGAGACAAAATCCTTCGTCATCAAGATTGCAATAGGCTAAACACAATGATAAAAGAATGATACTAGGACAGTCAGTAAGCCAGAAATACAGAGTATAATAGATGAGATAACAGAAATTGCTTAAGTAAGTTTTTGCTAAGTTGTACAGTTTGACAGAAAAATGATAGTTGTCTATAGATAAATGATAGAGGTAGGCACCAATTAATAAAACAACTATTAAGATGCATTCAACTCTTCTCTCATTCTAAAACAAAAGGGCATTGCAAATCGATGCTTCTGGAGCATTTATGAAAGAATGAGGAGTTGATTAGAAACTCGAGAACCAATTTATTTTAATTCTGAGATGTCCATATTTAACAGAAAAAGTATAAAAATGTTATATTTAATGTGATGATAATAACATCACACATTTTATTCGATATAAGAAAAAGTAAGCCAGCATTTTAAAAAATCTTGTGGTAATAACATATTTCTAATCAATGTAATCTTTAATTGATAGTTTTTTAAAATCTACAATCACAAATTAGATTGTAAAATCTTATAATGCCAAATATAAACTATACTTTGTAGAAGCACATTCCTCACTTGTACCACCATAGCCTAAGTCAACTTTGGACCTAAACTACAGAGAAATAATTGTTCATATTATAGTAAAATACAAAGTTTCTATGTGCGCAGTATAAATGTGACCTTTGAACTCACCTGATGATTTGGTTGCTTCAAGGGTTCTCCTATCCTGCTGCCTGTTTAGATCCTGCAGCAGGAAGTACCAAGCTATCAAGCTGTTGACGGCTGCCTGTGTGGACTAGCCATTCATAGAATTTGTTCTCCACTAACATCTGGAAAGTCTTCCTCTGATTCCTGAAACAAGGGAAAGGATTAGCTCTGTGCTGTATACATTTGTGTCCTATCACTTCTTCGGTAAACATACACACTGCCCCCCCAAAATATCATAGGGATTGAATTTATTGTGGTATGGTTGAGATTTTTTATAATATGTAACATTTTGTACGATTTTTATAATATTAAAATAAAAGAGAATCATTTAAACCTATATAAAAACAATCAAGAAAACATTTCAAAAAATGCTTCCGCAAGTTATTGTGCTGTTAATGGTTACAGTGTTGAACTACAAATCAGGAGATTGAAGTTCTAGTCCATGAAATATAAGCCTAACAAATCAGTGTTAATGGAAGATATTCCATTAATTTTTTCATATCTAGTTGCAAAGTCATAAAACTCAAAAATGAATCAGTGTAGAATGAAACAAAATGTTACGGTCAACTTTTTTATTAAGCACTACTAAGCAATATATTCCTACAAAATTGATACAACTAGGTCTGTCCATGATGATAGTTGCTAAGACCACTTATCTTTATTGAAAATTACATGCTTTACTTAGAATGGTAGATCATATAATGTGAGTATACACCAATGTAATGTTTACAAAACAAGTCTGATATTAATTCAATCTAGAAATGAATTATGAATCATAATTCTACGCAAAGATTTATATCACACCTGAACTTTGGATTTCTCTTTGCCTAAGACTTTAGAATATTGCTTGATCTGTTATATAAAGACAGGCTTCCCCAAATTAAATAGAAGTCCATAATGTTTAGTATGAGTGATGCTTCTTGCTTTAATTTCCTTTCATAATTAACTGATGTTGACAGTAGTTTTAAAGGGTTAAATATAATATATTTGATATAATTCCACCTTTATATGTGGCACTAATCTAAAGTTACTTTTAAAATTCTTATTCAACTTGTACATCTTCAATTTCTTTTTGTTCCTTTCTTTTTCACTTTTCCTTGGTTGCATTTTAAAAAATATATTACAATAAAATAAATTATTTTGTTTTTATATTCTTTATGGTTACCTTTATATTTTATTATATTTCTTTCCACATTTAATTAGTTTTCCATGAAATTTCATGACATTTGCCTCCTTAGAAATAAGCAGTCAAATAGTTAATATCAAAAACAAAATAATTCATTTTTACAATATTTACACATATTTGGGTGATAGGCAGAAGCCTAGATTTTTTTTTCATTTTTTCCATCTTTTTCTGGGCCTGGGATGGCGAACCTATGGCACGTGTGCCACAGGGGGCATGCGGGGCCATTTGTCAGGGCGTTGCCCTGTCAGCAGGCCACCGCGCATGCGCACGCTGGCCAGCTGACTTCAGCCTTTTTTAAAGCCATTTTTCACCCTCCCTAGGCTCCAGAGCTTTATAGGAGCCTGCGGAGGGCAAAAAGAGCCTCCCCCGCACCTCCCCCCAGAGGTCCTCCGGAGCACAAAAAACCAGCCCTATGGGCAAACCCGAAGTTCAGGAAAGGACTTCCAGTTTGCTCATAGGTTCGGTTTAAGCCCTCCGGACGCTTCAGGGAAGTCTCCTGAAGACTCCGGAGGGCGGGGGAGGTTGTTTTTGCCTTCCCCAGGCTCCTATAAAACCTCTGGAGCCTGGGGAGGGCGAAAAAAGCATGCAAAAAATGGGGGGGGGTGCCTCTGTTTGTATGCGCACTGGGGGTCGCGTATTGCATTATGGGTGTGGCACGACCCCCCTGGTCTCCCCCCCTTATGGCACGCGAGCCAAAAAAGGTTCACTATAGCTGTTCTAGGCTTTATATGTCTAATTTAGTACTTAAATTCAATTTATTTTGAACATGTGTATGTATGTGTGTGTGTGTGTAATAAAACAAGTTTTGTTAAAAGTATGGAAAATATAATTTCTATTTATTATTTTTAGAAATTATTTATTTTACTGAGCTACTCTAATTGACCAAAATATTAAAAATATTTATCATTAATAAATTAAAATTAATAGGAATAGCAAAGACAAAAAAATCCACCCTCCAAAAAGCATTACGTGTCTTGATACCTAGTGGTTCATTTCCATTCAGAAGATATCACCATGTGATTGCCTGCACCCTGAAGTATTCAAAAGTTTTCTTTTAAAGTCAAAAGTAAAGTGCTTTGATTGCAAAAGAATTGTTCATCTCCATTTATAATGTGTGAGATATTTTGCTCATTAATTTTCTAAATTTTAATTTGCAGCTAACAAACTGGGTTTACTTGATAGGTGTAAAATTTGTAAAAACATATTAATAAAAGGATCATAGTTGTCTTTGGGACTACAAGTCAAGAGAAAAGAAAAAAACAATATCCACAGAACAAATTTTAATTATTTGCATAAATATTGATGCATTTAATGCTAAAGCCATTACAATGCTTGACTCTGCTTTCCTGGAAAATTAACTATTACTTACTTGGTCAACTCTGCTTCCTTCACCGTTTTCTGCCAGATTCGTATCCTCTGTTCCCGTTTGCTCAGTGCTTTCTGATATACAGGTGGCAGACCACCAGGTATTTCTGTTGTGTCTCCCTCCATTTCAAATGGAACAACAAAGGGGTAAAATTCTGAGGGTGGGAGAAGTCTGAATACCTCCCGATCACAGTTTTCTTTACATACTATCATTGGATTATCCCAATTGTTAGGCACAGTAGCTAGGCCTGTTCTGCCCATGTGATCCTCAAGCATTGGATAATGGGTATGGAGGGGAGCAAAAGTTATTGCTTGGTTACCCAATAATATAAGAGGTCTGGTTGGAGTGAGAACGTGTAAAGTGCAACCAGTCGTAGATGATAGAGATAGGCGATGGCAAACAGCAACAAGTTTAACATTGTCACAACTATGGAGATGTACTACAGTTTGCACTGGACCAAGGACAAAGGTACTATTCCTGCATTTTTCTATGGTTACAGACCTGAAAGAGAGGAGAAACAGCCAATAATAGAAGACCAAAAACAACAAAATACATTTATACATGTATCTTTTATATCAGGTTGCAAATATTGGCAACTGAAAAATACCTTACCTCAGTGGAGATAGTAAATAGATAAAAGATTCACAGCACCGATGAATCTTCACATGAGTATCTTCTAGGGTAACAGAGCTCTTTGCTAATGTTTGTTTGTAAACCTGGCTCATCACAATCACACGATGAACTGAAGGGACTATGTGAGTATTGCAAGCTATTTTAGCTCGTTTAGTTGTTCCTTCAACTGGAAGAATTGTTGAAATATTAGTTTTAAAAATAGTCCTATTGAAGCCAAAACCTCTCATTTAGCTGTATCTTACTATATTTCCCAAAGAAAGAAAACCCTTCAATATTCACAAATATATTCTAGTCAAGCTGGTTGGAATAATTCAAAAAGCACTTAATTTTCTTGTACAAATGGTTAAGTTTTTATGCAGTATGTCTGATATTTATGTACAGTGCTATGAAATTCTCTTTATAACAAAGGCACGGCTTTCTAAATATTTAAAGAAAAACAAAACAACAAGTTACATTTCTTTCTGGTATGTTACATATCCCAAGCATCAAGGATTTTTATTATGAAATTAAGTCATAAACTTCCATCAATTTATTACCAAATCAAAAGCACTAAAATGTCTACCATGCATCCTTAAAGTATATTTTCCCTCTTAATGGTGTTATGGAAATATTGAGCAATATTCAGAAAACGTGTTACATGACTTTAGGACTTCATATAACTACCTATTCTCAACTTAAGGAAATATGCAATTGAAGTTAATTATTCACAGCTAATAATTCACTATTCCAGATCCTGTACAACTTTGTAAATCTTATATTTCCCATTTATATTGTCAGAAAGCTGTTAAAATGACTGTATTATGAGTTTCAATTAGGACAGTGTCCAGCAAGAACAATTAAAAAAAACTAGTACTATACTGTCAGAACTCATCCAATGATACAATATAAATTTAATTAACGAATTAATAATTCAAAGAGGAAATATGAGTATATAGTATTTAATACAGATTAATGAAGCCCTAATGTAAAATAGGTATGGAGATATTATAAAAGACTCATACTTGATTTTTGAGTCATATGATTTAGCATCCTAGAAACTATCAAAGTTTTTACCAAAATTGAGTTTGTGATTCCTAAGTGGAAATGCTCCAAAACTCCTATATACATTTTAATTGGCATCTTACCTTCATAATAAAAATGTCTAAGTTCCTGAAGTTTATTATTAAAAAACATTTTAAAATTAACTTTGGGGTATAAATTTTAACTAAAATATTGATTAAATCTGGGCAGTCATGATGGAGTCATCCTATCAAGCAGTCAGTAGGAACTTTATGATCAGAAATAATTGTACCTTGCTGCGCCCATGCAAGCTTTCTTCCAGATGTGAGGCAGGCTGTTGCTCCAAATGGGTTCCCAGTCAGACAAGCCCTCAACCATGATTCGAATTTGGCACAGGAGAAGGCTTTGGAAAGTTTCGAGAAGCCACTCTTGGCATGCAATGGCTGCCAAAGTGCAAGTTCATGAAGAGGGTGGACAGTCCTATTTTGATCCACACTTCCTTCAATAAGGAAACTAAGAGCTTGAACAGCTTTGGGGGATAGCAGGCTGTTGTGCATAGAATGAGAGGAGGCACTAAGCTGATCTGGGTCCAGTAACAATTCCAGAAGATCTTGGAGATGGTTTTCAACAAAGTCATGGTGGTAGTTGTCATTCCAATTCTTCAAACCAAGCATAAGGATAAATATTAGAGACAAGAATCAATCCATAAAATCATATGTATATACTGTTCTCTTGGTTTCAGTTTACTGACAATGAGTCTTTATTTATTAGCCCTTGGGCCATATCAAAGTGCAAAGTTCCAGAAACAAACTATTACTAAAATTTGATAAAAGCAATTTAAAAAGGAATTGGCTAAAATACAGTTTAAAATGAAATTGGAATAAAATATGATTTAAAATGAAATTGGAATAGAATACAATAATTTAAGTTACAGATAAAATACGATTAAATCATATTTCAGTGTCACCCCTGCAATCTACCCCAATCAGTCCCACATATGCAGATCTCAACTGAATCATTTTGCTTAAGTACTGTGCTGTGTTAAATATTATTTTCAGATTATGGCCGCACATAAGGTAAGTTGTTTTGATATAGGGATCCCAATCAGTTATTAGTTTGTATATAGACCAAGGTACCTGTCTCTCACCCTCTTGTACAAGCAACAATCAAATTGGATATGAGCCAAATCTTCTACCTCTGCCGCTGCACAAATGCAGAGATGTTCATTGTAAGGTATAGAATGGAATCTCCCATATCTGACCATTGTGTCGACCTGTTTGAATCTCGTTCATATAAATATCTCCCTTAGATGTTTTTGTAGTTGTAACTTCAAATAGCTGTCTATTCAAAAAGTACGTTTATATTTGCTTAGCTATTTCAAGTTACCCGCATTACTAAGAATAGCTATGTCATTTTGTGTTCTATATCCTTAATTCTTTGGGCAGCTCTTTTTTTTAATTATTCTCCTGTTACGCAAGAGACAGGAAGACCACAGCTTCTGACAAAATTTGTTACTTTAGTGATCCAGGAGATTTGTGATTGTGATTTTATTTGCTCTAGTAGATATAACTTGGGGAGTCTATCAGTCTCCATTTCATTGACTTTGTGCCAGTAGTTACAGTATATGCTAATTTTGGATAGGGCATGAATTGTATGAATTCCCAATTCAGCTCTAACTGCTGCAGCAGACGTTCTTATATCTACACACAAAATACATCTCAAATGCTGGGACTATGTTTGTTCTGGGACTGTGATTGAGTATAGACCCCAAACATCTGCTCCATACAAGAGCATAGGGATAACCTTAGCTTTATATACTTTAATTAATGGGGCCAGGGACCCTGGGTATCTTGGTTTAAGCGATTACGATGTGGGACTAATACTAAGGCTATCATCCACAGAAGCTCATTGGATAATCCTGAGCCAACCATTCTCTCTCACCTTATCCTACATCACACGATTGTTATTGGGGAATAAAATAGAAAGATGCAGCTCTATGTGTGCTATTTTATGTTTTAGGAAAGTCCAGATATAAATTAATAAATGATAAATATAAAGTAAGATATAAGTAAAAACCAGTGATGTGCAGATTACTTGTAAAATCTTTTCTTGTTCATTTGCTAGAAACTATATTAGGCATTTAATATAAAAAGCAGCAGAAAGTAGTCTCCAATTTCTTTACATACTTATAATCAATATCAGAATAGGAGAGGCTTCCTCTTACTGTTATTTTAAAAAAGACAAGAAGCTAGCAATTCTGAAGATCCATACATGCTTTGTATACAGGTGTCCTTGACTTATGCTTAGTGACCATTTGAAATTAAAACGGCACTGAAAATAATGACTTATGACCATTTTCACACTTACGACCATTGCAGTATCCCATTGTCAGATGTTCAGAATTCAAACACTTGACAACTGATTCATATTTATGATGGATGCAATGTCCCAGGGTCATGTGGATAACTTTTGTGACCTTCACTGACAAGCAGCCAATGGGGAAGCCAGATTCACTTAACAACTGTGCTGCTAATTTAATAACCAGTGATTCACTTAACAAGTGCAGTAATAAAAGTTGTAAAATGGGACAAAACTCACTTAACAACTGTCTCGTTTGACAACAGAAATTTTTGGCTCAATTGTGGTAGTCAGTCAAGGACTACCTGCACACATAAATGCTACAAAGGAAAATATATAAAGTGGTATTAAGAGATGTGAGATGGTGCTTTAATGAAAGTCCATCAATTTATAGTGCATATTCTATTCTATGCATCACTGTGAAACAGGAAAGGTCTACAGATTTAGCACTGATTGTTATATCATGGTTCATAGTAACTGGGGATAATGAGAGTTGAAAATTCAACATATTCTGAGGGTACTAGGTAGGAGAAGGCTAACCTTGATACAGCTCTCACCATTATCTAAATAGCATATACTTGGTAGCAGTACTGTAGAGTTATACAGTATACTAAATCAATTTAATTGTACTATTATTTTCTTAAAGTTTTCTTTGAATTTATACATGGATATCAAATATTATTTTATAGGTGTTTATATTATATATAATTCCACTTTTTTATAAAAACACTTATTTTAATTAATTATTTCAGTATGTAGTGTAAATATATAAAAAAATGGAAGTATACTATAACTTAACAAGCTATTCTTACACTACCTTCAAATAAAAGCATAAAGTATCCTTCTACAGGGAGATATTTTTGGAGGAAAGAGGTTCAAAAAATACCTTAATCTGATTGGTAGATTCTTTTAGCCCACTGTGAGATTTAGGATTTGGCCACTCATCTCCAAGGAAGGATGTCCTCAAAGAAACCTTGTTTAATTGCTGAATATAAAGGAATAGCAGGAACTGAAGAGTATCCACGAATAACTAAGGAAAGATTCAAAAAGAGTTTAAACACAAATAGAATATTTAGTAAGGCTATTTTTCATTCAGAAAATTGTACTTCAGTGGAATAGATGGATAGACATTGCTTAAATTTCAAATAGTCTAAATTATTCTAAAAACAAAACAGTGTTTGATCCACCTACATTAGTGCTTTAGTGCTGCAATGTATACCAGAAAGAAATAAACCATTTTGGTGCAATGACTGAACGGGACGTCAGAACTAACACAAAAAATTATGAGCAATACAAATTTAGATTCCATAAAATTATATAAAAAATACAATTAATTCATACCCGATTCCTTTCCTTCTCTGTCTCTTCCTCAGTTGCGCAGCCAGATATCACTTCAGCCCATTCTAGTCGCTCCTCTGAAGTCTTCTCAACAAGACTGTCAAACGACTCAAAGTAAAGCCATGCCAGCTCTTTCTCTAGTTGCAGTTTTCCACAAGCAATGTGTCGCCACATAGACCAGGTAAGGTATGGATAATAGCCTTGGCCAGAGCGCATTCTGACATAGGTTGACATTTTCCGAAGATAATGCATGCTAAACTTGGAAGGAGGAGGGATTTGCAATGCTCCCACTATGAAAGGCTCCATCTTCACCCACAAACTGACCGAAGGTTTCTCCATTTTGGAAAGGTGCAGAGTTTATATATCTGAATTTGGAAAAGCAGAAATAACACAAAATGCTGTTTTCAGGCCTGTCTCCAATTCAATTATATATGAAAATCAATGAATTTTCCCATATTAACTTCTCCTGATTACCTCATGTTTAAACATTCATATCTTAAGATAGGTAAAGACTTTCACATATGCGCTAGTCGTTCCTGACTCTAGGGGGCGGTGCTCATCTCCGTTTCAAAGCCAAAGAGCCTGCGCTGTCTGAAGACGTCTCCATGGTCATATGGCTGGCATGACTAAATGCCAAAGGCGCCTTCCCACCAAAGGTGGTCCCTATTTTTCTACTTGCATTTTTTATGTGCTTTCGAACTGCTAGGTTGGCAGAAGCTGGGACAAATAACGGGAGCTCACTCTGTTACGCGGCGCTAGGGATTCAAACCGCCAACCTTTCTGATCAACATGCTCAGCGTCTTAGCCACTGAGCCACTGCGTCCCTATTCATATCTTATACATTTCAAATTTTATTCTGGTTTATCCTATTTAAATATTTATTACCAAAATATACACATTAAATTTCACCTTTTATCAGGTCAAGAAAAACTTTTGGAATTCAAGACTGCAGTTTTTTAAAAAGTGGATGATGGAAATCATCAAAATGTTCAGCCCAATTTCCCCTTTTGGATGTGCCCATTAGAGGAAGCATTAAATGTGTAAAACTACTGGAGGTGATGCTTCTTTTATTTCATATCACCATGGAAACCTTTTGCCAAATTTCAGCAGCATAATCTTGAGAAATTCTGGGGGCAGAAGGGCAATGAGCAACCACAGATTGCAAATTATTCAGTCCTATTCTGCATAGAAAGAAAATGAGTAATAGGACATTTAACTTCTGTATTTAATAGACTTGCCAAATAGTGGGTCCTGTATGGCCCTTGTTCATAAGTAATTTTGAACAGCAGCTATATTATAATGGAGCCAGAGCTTAGAACCTGAAGAACAGCTTTGGCTTATTAATCCTTTCTCTCTCATACAAACAATGAAAGATTTTGAACAGTCCTTTTTTACTTATTCACCTCAGCAATTCATTCAAAGGAAGGAGCAAATGAAGAAAACACTGTTAAAGTTCCCTTTTATAATTATTCATTAAATACAGTAATCTCTTTACCTTCCTTGCTAGAATCATATTCGTCCTAGTAATTTCTCTAGCAATGACCTTGAACTAGAGTTACTTGCAGAAAGTCATAGTAAGAGGTCTGAATCTGGGACTATACAGAAGACAACATTTGGAAGATCAGTCTAAATCAATCCATTAATCATCCAAGAATTTCAAGTTCATTCAATAGTAAAACAAACTATTAATTTAATCAATATGGCCTTATCCTGATTTCTGAGATTTGGGAAACTATTTTTTTTTCTGAAGTTTTCCAGCTTTATTTTAAACACCCTGACTGTTGGTTTCAATATGTTGCATCCCTTGTAAACTGCCAACAGATAAAAAGCAACACTCTGTCATAACTCACTTCTAGTCTGCTCTTTCAAAGAAAACATTTGTGGAGTGCTTTATTTCTTGTTAAAAGAGCTTCCAAAAAAAGTATCACTGATGCTTTAGCCTTTTAGACTTTTCTCTCCCACTTTGCTTTATGTTATTTTTTGAATGCTAACGCAAGAATAATAATAAAAGCAGGCATATCCAAAATTTTAATATAAAAATAGATAATAAAATAATGTTTGTAGATGTTAATATTTCTGAAGATTTTAAATACAGACATATCTCAACTACAGTTTGAATTAAGTGCATTTCAATTAGTGTCAACAAAGATTTAGTGGACTCATGTTAATACAGTCATCATGACATAGGATGTCATTAATTTTAAAAAATTAAGATATAATATTAACAAAATGTAAGATTTGATATTATTTTCATTATCATGGTTTAAGAGGACAGAAGCAGTCATGACCACCTTGGAGGGGAGGGGGGTAAAAGTAAAAAATGATGACACTATGTGATGAAATCAGCCATGATCTTATTATTTTGGCATTATTACATTTATTACAAAAGCTACTGAAAGCAGGTAAAATAATCTATTTATGAAATAACCTGTTTTTACTTCAAGTGTGCTTAATTTAACTGCCTATTTATATGGTTTCAAATAAAGGAATTTTATTGACATAAAAAGCAGCTTCAGAAATAAAATATACTGTATTGTAGCTTCTGTACTATATATATAGTATGTAAAGAAGAATGATAGGTGTCTATGGATAACAAGTAGAATTTTCCTGTAAAAAGTCACAGAATGTACATTGAATATAAACCAAGTAAACAATATATTTTTCAGTTAAAGAAATACCATTTCCTCTTGAAAGTAAAAAAATAACTGTTTCACATTCAGATTTAAAAAGAAGTCTGAAAAGGATGTAAATTATGTCTTATGCCAAATCAGTCTCTCCTATTATTCCTTGATCATTCACAAGTTAAGCATGAAATAAAATAATTAGAGATTTAATGATAGATAGTAATCCTGTGGTTTCTGAATTTATTTTACAAAAGCAATGGACCAAAGTACCAACCTGATGTCAGATCATTCAATGAATTGAATCATTCATTTGTAAATATATAAATTGTATCAATTAAGAACATCAATTATATTGGAAGAATGGTGTATTTATATTTCATATAGTACAGGTGGTCCTCAACTTACAATCTTCATTTAGTGACCATTCGAAGTTACAACAGCACTGAAAAAAGTGATGTATGACCACTTTCACATTCACAACTATTGCAGCACCCCCATGGTCTAATCCAGACGCTTGGCAACTGGCATGTATTTATAACAGTTGCACTGTCCAGGGATCATTTGCAACCCTACCAACCAGCTTCCAAGAAGCTGGTGGAGGCCAGATTTGCTAAACAAAGCATAATTCACCTAAAACCGCAGTGATTCATTTAACAACTGTGGCAAAAAAGGTGATAAAATGGGACACAGCTCACTTAACTACCTTACTTAACAATACAATGTTTGGGCTAAATTGTGGTTATAAGTCCAGGACTATCTCTAATAAGGGAACTTTGTCAATGTTACACAAGTAGTCGACTTACAATCACAACTGAGCCCAAAATAAATATAAAAAATCTATGCATCATATTACATTCTGCCAGAGTAATTCTATAGACACTGCAACTGTTCTGAAGTGGTGATATAGGGCACAAATTAATGGATATGTATCATCTTTGCTGTCAGTGCCCAGATAATCAGAATCCATTAGTCAAGTCATAATTTTTTAAAGAAATTGGAAAAATCACCCAGTAATATTTTGTTATGAATGTTGTGGTAATTTACTGACTATACAGTATTTCCTAATGTATAGAGATTGGTCTATCTAACTTAACAAATTAATTTAGATGTAATTGTTAAATGTTAATTTTTATGACTGCAAAAACCTGAAAAGTAAACTATCTCAGTGGTATTTAAAAATATGGGAAACTATCTTTTTAAAACCCTAAGAGCTCAACAGCTTCCAAAAATATTCAGTAAATAATAAATTCAGTTTAATCCAGTCAACATTTATTTGTCTGATAAGCAATAATACATTTTTTCTATTTACATGTCATTTTTGAAAGAAAAATTAAATGCAGGTATTTGGTACGTTTGGGGTTTTTTCTCAAGAATTGGGTTTGTGTATGTATATCCTTCTTTTCAAATACATTCTTTGGGATTATTGGTGTTTTTCTTTTTGATTTTATTGTTTTTTGTTCTAGCCGTGTTTGTCTTACAAACTAACAAGAAAAGTAAAACATTTTTATTGGATATTAATCTAATATTTAAAGGCATTCTCAATTGCGTATATCAAATATTGATGCAGTTACTGAGGTTTTGTACTGCACTTTTTTGTTATTCAAAAGCCTAGGCCCTCTATCCTGATTCTACTACTTACTGCTAGTTGCCTTCTGCTACAAATTTGTTCTATTTGCACTTTCCATAGCATTGTGAATGGTCTCATTCTCTAATTAAATAGCTCCTATAAAGGCAGGTGTGATCAAAAGTATGATTCTTTCTAAACTTTCTTCAAATTTGCCTTGCATTTTGTTGCTCTGTTTTATGGGCAAATGGAAATGTATTCCCTCTATTTCGTTTCTATGTCTTTAAACTACTGTACTAACATTTAGGTCTGGTAAATTTTTATTACATTTCTGCTATTTATACATACTTCACACATATGTACCTATTCAGGAAGCTAACTGCTGTTGAAATTAAGTGCACTGAAGCAAAACTGATACATTGTTTGTTGGTTCAGCACAAAGGATATAGAGTTCTTAAGATGGAAATCATGATGGAGGCTGGGAGGTAAATGAACATGGAACTCTTTTGAGGACTATATTTGGCCTCTTGTGAGTTCCCTTGTAGAGCAGACAAGTCTGCAACTTATTTATTCTCCATTCCTTTTTAGAATATGGAGAATAAAAACTAAGGACATGCAATAGAGCAGGAGATATGCAACATCTGGTTGGAAGAACCCTTAGGAAAAGAAGATAGCATGAAAGATGCGAACTTTCTTCTTGTTGGACGGTTTTGGCGGGGAGGATTTTTGCAAGAAAAAGAAGAGGAGAGACAGAGCAGCCGCACTTCTGGTACAACTGCTCACAGCATTCCACCACGAAGCGAAAAGAGATGGAGTGACGAAAAAAGGAGACCGACACCACCCTCCAGGCGGAGAAAAGGAACTCACCCGCCTCTCTTCGCCGGCGCTTCTCGAACGCCAGCCGCCAAGTCGCTTTCGAATGCCCACGGCCAACTCTTTCCGCACTTGCGCACAACGTCTGACTCACTCGCCAATAAAACCGCTCCCTGGAGAAGGCTTCAAAAGACGTTCTATTATAGAATCACTAGACCAATCGCTATCTCCGTATCTCTCCTGTTCTGGCAAGAATAGGAATGGCAGTTAAAAGGCTAAGAGTTCGCAACAGCGACCTCTGTAGACTGGGCGGATCAGAAAACTGACCTCCATTTGCCTCACTCAATTAATCTATTCTACAGCGTTGTGTATTGTGAACAGTCACCCTGTTTTATACTTTTACATTTAATGATCGTGTTTAGGTATTTGATAATAGTTTGACTTCGTTTTTTATTCTTTCAATGCATACATTTTATTAAAAATATATCCTTATAGATCCTGAGGTGATTTATGAGGGTCATTTTCCGGGATGTTTTTAACTTAACTCAGCGTATAAACATCCAAGGGGTCCAAAAAACTTCAGTCAAAAGCTTCTTTTTGCTGCCATCTAGTTATCATCCAGAAATGTGCAGCCGAAGCAGAGAGTTCCAAATCTATAGACATTCAAAGAGATCGATAAATTGAGAGAGATATTCCTCTCATATTAACCAATCTGGTTAGTTTCCAGTCCCAGAAAGTCAGAAAGGTACTGCCCCTGGTGAGGCAAATATTATTCTTGTATAAATGTATTTGCAGAGAACGGCATTTTGTTTTTCTTAAAATGCATTCGCTGGTCCCAGCCTGTATTAGAAAAATGTGTTATCATTTAATGTGTCAAAGAATTATGGTCTTCAGAGAACCGATGAAGAAAAAAGGGAAGGGCCGGAGCATAGTTAAGCATTTACAAATAAGATTTTATGAACTGTCAGAATTACCGTTGATGTAACTGCGTTATTTAATTTTTAAAAATGGAGTTCGTTGATTTTGATAAGTCACAGGCTGACAAAAAAATCCTGTTTGCTACGAGTTCAACCTTAGAAACCAACAAGGAAGCCACGGCTTAAACTGCTTTAAAATGTACGGAACTAAAACGAATTTTTCTTTGAAATCTACCTAGGCGTGACATCATCACGGCGCTCCTCGCCACGCTCTTTCTCGCGTCCTGATTTGTTGACGTTACGCAGTTTCATTGGTCCGAACTAACCCGGGTGGCGGGTGAAGTGTGCAATTGTGATTGGCCAGCGGGTTGCCTGCTCTGCTGGGCTCTGATTGGCCGCGTCGCTGTACCGGGGGGTTCTCTTTCGTGCCTATGGTTACCGGTGCGTGAGGAAGGTAAGGGCCGGGAGCTGCTTCGACTAGACCCCCGCCATGTCCCCCCGCTCCCTCGGTGGCCTCCTTCTACTACTGCTGTGCCTGCTTGGGGACGCCATCGCCGGGTGAGTGCAGTGAAGGAAGAAGTGGCCGGAAGGAAAGCCCGTTCCGGGCTACGGTTTGCAGGTGGCCCCGCGGTAGGGTGGAGCCCCCGTTGCCTTTCTTCCCCTTTCGCTGTTCTGGAAGGCCCGCTGGACCTGCTGCGTTCTGCCCCCCCCCCTTCCCCCATCCTCCAATCTTCCACCTACTCAACCTCGTGTGCGGACAGCTCCCTCTTTCTCTGCTTCCTGGCTGTTTCTTCCTATGGAGAGTTTAGGTGGTTATTGCTCTTTATTGGTTATTGGCCACCCACTGGAGAAGAGCCTACTGCTGGGAAGGATTGAGGGCAAAAGAAGAAAGGGACGACAGAGAATGAGGTGGCTGGATGGAGTCACCGAAACAATAGGTGTGAGCTTAAATGGACTCCAGAGGATAGTAGAGAACAGGAAGGTCTGGAGGAACATTGTCCATGGGGTCGTGATGTCGGACACGACTTCGCAACTAACAACAACAACAACAACAACATTGCCCTTTCCTCCTTCATCCCCCTTCGTAGGTGGCCAGGAAACATTTCTATTTCCTTGTGCCTTCATAGGTAGATGTGCCCAGTGTTTTAAAGCGCTGGGGAGGGTGAGGGAAGAGAGATGAGTCGTAGTGGACGTGGTGTGTTAGGAGTACTGGTAGTCCTCGAGTTATAACCACAATTTAGCCCCCAATGTATGCTGCTAAGTGAAATGTTAGTTGAGTGAGTTTGCCCCCATTTTATGACTTTCTTGCCACCATTGTTAAGTCAATAATTTGCATTTGTTAAGTTAGTAACATTGTTGTTAAGTGAAGCTGGCTTCCCCACTGACTAGTTGTCAGAAAGTCACAAAAACTGATCACGTGGACCTGGGACACGTCAACTGTCATCAATGTGAGTCAGTTGTCAAGTATCCGAATGTAAATCACATGACCATGGGGATGCTGCGATGGTCATAAGTGTGAAAAATGGTCATAAGTCACTTTTTTCAGTGCTGTTGTAACTTTGAGCAGTCACTAAATGAACTGTTGTAAGTTGTGGACTACCTGTATAACCACTCAGGTTCAAATTCCTCGTCTCAGTCATGAAGCTCGCTTTAGACCTGTTACTACTTTACTTCTTTTCAGTGGCTAGAATCCATATCCAAGTTTCCACTTTTACTTGTCCTCTACCCTACTGAAGTCAGTTTTTTGAATCTGCTATCTTTTTGGTTATTGACTTTCTTAGTACGGGTCCAATTATGGAATATTTCCTGAGGAAAGCTTAGCTGTCACCTACTTTTGATATAATTTTGTAGCAACAGGCATATGTCATTAAATAACTTTGATTATTATTCCCTTTATTAATTATTAATATGCTTTTATTTTATTGCATTTCATTTTTTAAAAATATAATCCTTTTGTTTCTTTAAAAAAAATGTAAGCTTCTTGAAAATTTTATTGAAATGTGGGAAATTTCTTCCACTCAACACATAGAGTGCATTTATTTATACTTAAGAGTTTTATTCCTGTTTCTGCCAATACATTCACGGGTGTATGCAACTTTCAATGAACAAATAAAGAATGGAATTTTATCTGACCTTTTTAATCTTATGCCAGGGTTTCCCAGTTTAGAGTTTTCTAGTTGTGTAAGGATTACAGTTTTTTCCCCTTTGGTTTAGATTTGGAGGCAATTAAGTTCCAAAATTGCTTTGGACTACTTACAGTTTAAAAACAGAAAAACAACAAAGAAAAAAATCTGAAATGTCTGGACTACCATATCCCATATATTGACCCCCTTCCCCATAAATCTCCACCAACAGGATTCACAATTACCCTATCCCAAGGGGTGGGAGCACCATCATAGTTTTTAAATACTTCTAAAACATTATTACAGTGGGAGCTACATAGATCTTTGGGGGCTATTAGTCCAGATGGAAGACACTACAGCAGAAAGAACCATACTTTCTGAATTCTATGTAATTGATGGCATTGTTTGGTTGAAGGGACCTGGAGCACATTAACTCTGACTAATGTTATTTGACAGGCAGAAATCATTGGAGATAAATGGTTTAAGGTTTAAGGTTTAATTTATTTGTATGCCGCCCTTTTCCCAGAAGGGACTCAGGGCGGCTCACAACTCAAAAAGGGAGGAGAAATACAAACAGAGTTACAAAAACATAAAAACCATACATAGTTAAAAGCACAACAATC